GTGGATTTCGGTCCCATACCGTGAGGGGGAACAAGGTTAATATTGGTATGGATTGGCTAAGCCCCAATGGAGAAATGATTGACTGCGCGCAGCAGTTGGTTCGGATCAGGACCCCAGGTGGGGGAGAACTGGTGATTTAGGGCGAGAGGCCACATCGAGGACCAGCTTTATATTCGGCAGCGAGGGCTAGGCGCTACCTTCAGCAGGGTTGCGCATGATACGTCGCCTATGTTATGGACACCCGGGAGGCGGGAGGGGCGACGGTGGGTGATGTGACAGTAGTGCGAGAGTTTGCGGATGTGTTCCCCGAGGAGTTTCCCGGGATACCTCCGGAGAGGCAGGTGGAGTTCAAGATCGACCTAGTCCCTGGTGTGGCTCCGATAGCCAAGGCACCGTATCGGTTGGCTCCTCCTGAGATGGAGGAGTTGTCTACACAGCTGCAGGAGCTGTTAGACAAGGGATTCATTAGACCGAGTAGTTCACCCTGGGGAGCCCCGATTCTGTTTGTAAAGAAGAAGGACGGGTCACATCGGATGTGTATAGATTATCGGGAGCTGAATAAGGTAACGGTGAAGAACCGTTACCCACTCCCGAGGATCGATGACCTCTTTGACCAGCTACAGGGAGCATCTTGGTTCTCCAAGATTGATTTGCGTTCAGGTTATCATCAGATGAGGGTCAGAGAGGAGGATGTACAGAAGACTTCCTTTCGGACGCGTTATGGTCACCATGAGTTTGTGGTGATGCCTTTCGGGCTTACCAATGCTCCTGCCGCGTTCATGGATCTCATGACTCGCGTGTGCAGACCGATGTTGGATCGGTCCGTGATAGTTTTCATTGATGACATCTTGGTTTACTCCAAGACGCAAGAGCATCATGAGGAACACTTGCGGGAGGTTCTGGATACTTTGAGGAGGGAGAACTTGTATGCTAAGTTCTCCAAGTGTGAGTTCTGGTTGCGCGAGGTGCAGTTTCTTAGGCACCTTGTCAACCAGAACGGGATATCGGTTGACCCGGCCAAAGTGGAGGCCGTGATGAGATGGCAGGTTCCGAGGTCTCCATCTGAGATTCGTAGTTTCCTAGGATTAGCCGGCTATTATCGGAGATTCATCCAGGATTTCTCCAAGATAGTCGTACCCCTGACCAGGCTGACGAGGAAAGTCGTGGTTTTTCGCTGGGGGCCTGAGCAGCAGGTGGCATTTGAGACATTGAGACAGAGATTGTGCGAGGCGCCAATCTTAGCCCTGCCAGAGGGCATGGAGGAATTTGGCGTATACTGCGACGCGTCCATCTCGGGTTTGGGCGCAGTTTTGATGCAGAGAGGACATGTTATTGCTTACGCTTCGAGGCAACTGAAGCCTCACGATGCGAATTATCCGACGCACGATTTGGAGTTGGGGGCGTTTGTCTTCGCCCTCAAGATTTGGCGACACTATCTCTACGGGGTTCGATGTACCATCTACACGGACCATAAGAGTCTGAGACATCTCATGGATCAGCCGAATCTGAACATGAGGCAGCGTCGGTGGTTAGATGTGGTGAAGGATTATGATTGCGAGATCCTTTACCACCCGGGGAAGGCTAATGTAGTGGCCGATGCACTTAGCCGTAAGGCAGCGCCGATCAGAGACTTTTGCATGCGGATGACAGTAGTGACTCCACTGTTGGAGCAGATCCGAGAGGCCCAGCAGGAGGCTATGAAGGAGGAACATCGGAAGAGCGAACGTATAGTGGGTCAGGTTTCCTCCTTCGACTATGATAGCCGATGGTTGTTGACCCTTCACCGTAGGGTGTGGGTCCCCTATCATGGAGGCGTGCGTCAGATATTGATGGAGGAGGCGCATAAATCCAGGTTTTCTATTCATCCCGGGGCGACGAAGATGTATAGGGATCTTCGTCTTGACTATTGGTGGCCCTGCATGAAGCGGGACGTTGCATGGTATGTGGAGCGGTGCTTGACCTACAGGAAGGTCAAGGCCGAGCACCAGAGGCAACACGGCAAGTTGCAGCCGCTGGATATTCCCATGTGGAAATGGGAAGATATTACCATGGACTTCATCACCAAACTTCCCAGGACCACGCGGGGAGTGGATTCCATATGGGTCATTGTGGATCGGTTGACCAAGAGCGCCCATTTTATACCAATCCAGGAGAGTATATCAGCCGAGAAGCTGGCCGACATTTACATTCGAGAGGTGGTGGCTCGGCATGGAGTGCCAGTCTCCGTGATTTCCGACAGAGATGTGCGGTTTACTTCCAGGTTCTGGAAGAAGTTCCACGACGAGTTGGGTACTCGTCTGCACTTTAGCACCGCATTTCACCTGCAGACGGATGGTCAGAGCGAGCGGACCATCCAGACTTTGGAAGATATGTTGCGGGCGTGTGTTCTAGATTTCGGTGGTAGCTGGGATACTTACCTCCCATTGGCTGAATTCTCCTACAACAAAAGCTACCACGTGAGTATCGATCGTCCTCCCTTTGAGATGTTATACGGAAGGAAGTGCAAGACCCCGATATGTTGGGGTGAGGTTGGCCAGAGGGTCATGGGGAGCACCGAAGTGGTGCTCAAGACGACATAAAGAATTCAGCAGGTCAGGAGCAGGCTTCAGACTGCACAGAGTCGGCAGAAAAGCTATGCCGACAAGCGTCGTTCAGACCTGGAGTTTCAGGTCGGGGATATGATTCTCCTGAAGGTGTCGCCATGGAAAGGCGTCATCCGATTCAGGAAGCGGGTCAAGTTGTGCCCCATGTATATCGGGCCTTTCAGGGTTTTGGCCCTGGTGGGCAAGGTGGCATATCGGCTGGATCTGCCAGCGGAACTCAGTCAGATCCACGACACTTTCCACGTCTTCCAGCTATGAAAGTGTCTGGTGGACGACTCGGCAGTGGTGCCCCTGGAGGATATACAGGTTGATGGCATCCTGAACTACATTGAGCGGCCCGTGGCGATCCTCGACCGGAAGTCGAAGGATCTGAGGAACAAGAAGGTCGAGCTGGTGAAGGTGCAATGGCAGCACCGGAAGGGCTCGGAGTGGACGTGGGAGCCGGTGGACGAGATGATGGAGCATTATCCATAGCTTTTTCAGGACCGAGCAGCATACTTCGAGGACGAAGTCTAAGATAAGGGGAAGGAGCTGGCGCGGTAGCTGCACATCATACACACACACGTTGGATATCCACATTACGAGATTCTTGGGATTGTACTCTGACGTTGTTATATTTATGGTTTGGTTTTCAGACATGAGATATTAGTTTTATGAAATGATATGTCTTCACTATGTTTTCTTATGGAAGTTTTATAAATCAATTAATTAAAAATGAAATTTTTGGACTGGAAATTTGGGATGTTACATCACGGCTCCGAAGTGGTTCACGGCTCGGATGTACAAGGCTGCGAGGTGGTTTGCAGCTCGGACAAAACTCTTGGTTTTCATGCATTTCACTCCAAATTCATGCAACACTTCTAATTTAATGGATTTTGAAACAATCTAGAAGTTAAATCTCCTTAATTAAGATGGATCAAAATAAGAAGTTTGACTTTTGTTGACCGGAAACAACGGGTTGTCACAGAACACATGAAGTATACATCCCAGGTATGTGTTCAGTTCTGCAAGTTAGCCAGGTTGAAGTTTAACTTCTTAATAATTCGTTTGATAATATATATATATATATATATATATATATATATATATATATATATATATATATATATATATATATATATATATGGATGCAGATACATGAAGTAAAGGAATTACCTACTTGATTGTGAATTGTAGCCGCATTTCAAGAGGTTGGGGACTTGGCCTTGATACAATCATGAGAGGATTTGAACACACGACTTTATAATAGTGTCAAGTTGTATTTCGCTAGAAATTTGAATAAACTACTATGTATTTTTACTTTCATGTATTCAGTTGGGTTGAAGGGTTTAATTCTTAGAACACCTGATTCTCGAGTATTGGAATTGTTTGATACTAAGATGGGAATTCAATCGTTTTGATATTTTCATTTATGTACTAGTTTGGTTTTCTTTAGATAATTTTATGTTAGTTCATGGGTTACACTAAAATGGGGGAGGATTGTTGGTGATTTTAGTGTCACCGGGCATTTTATGTAATTGGAACTAATATGTGAGCTAATGGCTTTATTTGCTTGGACTCTATATTATATGTTTGGTGAATGTGGAGTGCATGCATATATAAGATCTTATGATAAGATGGTTCGATATAATAGCGGATGTTAAGGGGGTTGTGTCCCCTTGCAGGGTCCAAGCGGCAGAGCCCCTTGCGGTGGTCCCACTTGTGTCGAGGGGCAACGCCCCTGCAGGGTTGGGGGCAGCGCCCCAAAAGGTCTTCAAAAATTTGAATTAGTTATATTATGGAAAAACCGTATTCTAGTAGGTGATTATGGTAAAACCGATAAATCTTATCAATTTTGGTAACCATTGATTATGCCATTAAATTTGTGATTTTTCTAACTAATATAGAAGACGGAAACCCTAATCTGTCTAATACAAATACGTCTCCTTTATTGAGCCATGATATACCTTTTCAGCTCTCCTTCTTCTACACGAAACTCATAATTCTCTGGCGATTTGGCTTGTGGTTCTGTATGTAGATACATAAGTGTCCTCTTGGATTATCCTAAATTGTATTTCCTGTAACCCAGGCATAGGGTGGAAATATTAGTTCGGAAAGTGAACTTACACGATCCAAGAGCAATTTGGTTTCTCCACCATAACCCTAAACTTATTTCCCAACAAGAAACATATATATATATATATATATATATATATATATATATATATATATATATATATATATATATATATATATATATATATATATATATATAGGGGTGAGATCGGTTGAGAACTCATAGTTTTCCGAAAACCTGAGAACTAAAGGTGGAGCGTTGGATCAAAATTAAGTCATTAAGGGCATGATCGTCATCTTATTGATCCCACTCACCATTGATTGGAAAATCAAACGCTATGAATGGATAAAGCAGTGAGAAAACGTGGACGGAAACCTAAAAATGCAGTGGACGCGGAAGCAAACCCTAACTCAAACACCGCTGCTGTAGAAGAGGTGGTAGCTTCCTTAAGCGCTGCTGCTGATGACGTCGCCATTGTTGCGTCTCCTGAACGAAGGGCGTCTAGACATAGCGACCACAACGGAGATTGTGACATCGTTGGGACTGTTGCGGATGGTCCTCCGCGGTGGGAGAGTGTCGGGAAGGTTGTTCCGTCGATGGATGCAGTGGTTATGGTGTTTTGCGTTCATACAAATTCTCAACAGTACAAATTCTCGTTTAACAATCGAACATATAAATGTATTTCCCTGTATTCGAATTACAAACCCATGAATTATCGTAAGTTATTGTCTCTTTTACGTTATTGAATTTGAAGTTTAACTCTAAGGCTTATTGCTAGGGTTTAAATTTTAGGGTAAATAGCACAAAAAACACTCTTTTTACACAGAAATTCGATTTTGACACCGTTTTTTTTTTTTTTTTTGTCAATTTTGACATTGTGTTTTTCCAATTTGTTACAATTCTAAACACTTGACCGGTTAACCAGGTTACATGCTGACGTGGCATGATGACATGTCAGTTTTGATGACGTGGCATGCTGACATGATATGCTGACGTGTCAAACCACATTTTAAAGTTGCATATTTAATATAAAATACAATTTTTATATAACTAATACATATTTATACATAAAAATATGGTTTGAGTGTAAAAAAAAATGTATTTATACAAAACTATGGTTTTTAAATAAAAAAAAAACATATTTATACGGTTTAAATGTATTAAAAAATATTTATACGGTTTCAAATAAAAAATTGTCAACATTGAACAAAATTGGAAAAAATGATGTTCAATTTGGAACAAAAAAACATAATGTCAAAGTTGAAAGAAAAAATTAAACTTAGTATCAAAATCGAAAAAAAATGAAAACTTAGTGTTTTTTATGAGAAAAAAATTCAATTTTGACACGTCAGCATATCATCTCAGCATGCCACGTCATCAAAACTGACATGTCATCATGCCACGTCAGCATGCAACCTGGTTAACCGGTCAAATGGTCAGAATTGTAACAAATTGGAAAACACAGTGTCAAAATTGACACAAAAAAAAAACACGGTATGAAAATCGAATTTCTGTGTAAAAAGAGTGTTTTTTGTGCCATTTACCCTAAATTTTACTTTCCAGTGATTTTTATTTACTTTAATTGTCATATCTACAGATGATTGCACCAAACGCTAATGAAGCAGCTCTACGAACAATAATGGTGGATTTACTGAATATTGTGGTTTTGGAAACCAAACGAACTGCCAAATTTAGAACTCTACTCAAGCACGTCGAGAGAACTTTAAGGAACATCGAGCCGATTTTTTATGGATATGAGAGGTTGAGAAAAGTGTTGTATCGAGCTGAAAACGAGACCAAAATGTTCATATATTATGTGGCAAATGGAAAAGAAGTAGTCATGGAGTGCTTAGAGATGAAATGCTGGAATGTATACAAGAAACTTCTTCACGCAAACAAGCTAATTGGATTGGACAACATGCTTTTGAGATTCTTTCTGAGTGAATTGCATGATAATTTCATTTCAAGCAGGAGGATTCTGTTTGAGATTTATGCTTTGGGAGACAAACTGGATCAAGTCCTTGCAGCTGTTACCAAACATACAGATGGATTTTCAGAATCCTGCAGTGTTCCAGGGCTTCCAGATGTCATCATTGGGTTGGATTTTCATCTTCAAGAACTGAAAAGAATGGTGCTAAAAGAAGACACCCAGCTCATAACAGTTTCAGCTCCTGGAGGATGTGGGAAGACTACATTAGTAAAGATGCTTTGTCATGATAATGAAATTAAAGGTACATAAACTATTGAGCTTTTCTTCTATCCATTTATTCTTGATCTCATTCTTAATTGTTTTGTACAGGCATTTTTGGGGACAACATTTTTTATGTTACAGTTTCTAGAACAACATCCCTTAAGACAATCATCCAGAAACTATTTGCACATTTTAATGTAAATCATTGTGAGTTACAAACTGATGAAGAGGCAAAAAACCAATTAGAGAATTTTTTGAGTGAAATGGGATCAAAGAACATATTGTTGGTGCTAGATGACGTGTGTTCAGAATCCGAATCATTTATTGAAGATCTTAAGTTTCCAATATCAGGATACAAAATCTTGGTGACATCAAGATTCTTGTTTTCAAGATTCGGTTCCACATATGAACTGACCCTGTTAAACGATCCAGATGCAAAGACCCTTTTTTGCTCTTCTGCATTTCATAACATGAATTCTGTTAACGTGCCAGATGATCTTGTAAAACAGGTAAAGTTTTTCTTAATCTTTTAGAGTAAAACCTTTTTATACATATGATTACATTGGAATTCAAATTTTTGTTTTGATTTTTGATTTAGATGGTTAAATACTGCAAGGGGTTTCCATTGGCAATTACTGTGATTGGTGCATCATTATGTGGTCAAAATGTGGTCAAATAGAGGTCAACTTTGAAGAAATGGTCAGAAGGTCAATCTATCTTTCATTCAAGCAGCCGATTGTTGTTTAGTCTTCAGTCAAGAGTTGATGCACTTGAAGAGTTTCCAATACTGAGAGACTCTTTTCTAGATTTGGGTTTGTTTCCAGAAGATGAAAAAATTACAGCTTCTGCTTTAATGGATATGTGGGTAGAATCATACAATTTAGACGATGAAGGAATGTATACCATTGAATACCTTCTTGAACTCTCTTCAAGAAACCTTCTCAATCTTGTTCTCACCAGGTAAAAACTTGTTATACCAAATAGTCAGACTCATAATAATATACAAAGATTAATTTTGTTATTTCTCCGGTGATTAATCGATTTTTGTTTAATATTTTTAGGAAAGATGGTAGTGAACTTGAAGGGTATTGCAACGAGCATTATGTCACACAACATGATCTGTTAAGAGATTTAGCCATCCATTTGAGTAGCCAAGATCCAATAGCTCAAAGAACACGATTGTTGGTTTTTTTTTTAAGATAAAGATTCTACACTATCACTATTTATATTTTATTTTAACCATTATAAGGTTTTGTTGATGTGCATTCTTCCAATGCTAAGAAAACCAATCCATTATCTTCAATGTGATGATCCACCCAGAATTTATTTTTATATAGTGGAGCTTTTCCATCTGGTTTTGTTGGAAGACTTTCCAAACTAAGTTGCTGTTCTGGTCCCTGTTTATATTATATTTTTGCATATGGTCCAAAAAGAATGTTTTTTCATTTTTCGTCTCCATTTTATTCTTTATGAACAGTTCAGTCCTTGATTTACATGCTATCTACAAATTGGTGTTAATCCCAAGTATAATATGACCATTTTACCCCCCATTTTTTTTGTATATGTGATTGATATTGCTACTATTTTTATACTTTTGAGTTCTTCCATTCTGATTTTGTGGAAATACTTTCAAAATAATTACACTTTTGGTCCCTATGTTATATCATTTTTCCAGTATGGTCCAAAAAAGAATATTTTTGCACATTTCGTCCTTATTTACCGTTTCCTAACGCTTTCAGTCCCTGAGTTACACTTAGATCACAAATAAACATGTAAAGCCCATGTAAAAATGACCATTTTACCCCTTCCTTTTTAATAAACACTTACTCAGCTTTCCATTTTGATGGTTTACAGTTCCGTTCAGGCATGGGGAGCGTATCAGTTTCAGTTACCTTGTTTCACAAAAATATACACGCGATAACGCTCTTGTTAAAATCCTCAGAAAATCAAAGATACATGAATTCAACTGAAACTCGTAGTTTCCCGACAACCCGAGAACTAAAGGTGGAGCATTGGATCAAAATTAAGTCATTAAGGGCATGATCGTCATCTTACCAATCTCATTTAACTTTTTGTATTATTGAAAATATTAATAGAAAGCTCTCAAATTAACATTATAACTTAAATTTTCGGATTTTTTTTATAAAGACAACAATTTTCATTTTTTTTAATTTGCAGATTTTTTAATTTTCCCAGAAAACATAAATTTTTATAAAAAAGTTGAAAAAAAAACATTTTTTTTTAAAACTGCATTTTTTTAAAAACAATAAATTTTATGAACTTAGTAAAAAAAAACTATAATTTTTTTAACCAAAAAATCAACGTTTTAGGAGCATATATGCATATTGCTTCAAGTGTATGTATATATATTTCTTATACTATAATATTCGTAAGTAAATTATAAAAGAACACATTTTTACTTACTAATCTATAAACACAATAATACATGTATTTCATTCGATACAAAATAAAATATAAAAAACTAAAAATGCTATAAAATTTCAAAACGTTTTCATGTCTTCGTGTCAAGATTTCTATATTTTCTTCAATTTCACTTTTTACCACTTCAATATTTTCCCAAAATTCTTCCAAATCTAGAAGAAAATAAAGAAAATTTATTAATGCAAGAACATTCACAAAAATACATACGTATAAATCATGTAAGATTCACATGTGATTATATAATATGATATTCACATGTTATTGTTTCTTTTAAGATTCATACATGAATTACATGTGTGAATCACATGTAATTCATATGTGATTCATATTCATACGTGAATTACATGTAAATCACCTGTAATTCGTATCTGCTTCACTTGTGATTTACATGTGAATCACATGTAATTCATATGTGATTCACTTGTGATTAACGTGTCAATTACATGTAATTGATACGTGATTCATTTGTGATTTGCATGTGAATCACATGTTGTCACACCCCGAAACCGAAGGCGGAAACGTTCTGGGGCGGAGCGACGTCATGCGTAGTATCACAACAGTTGTATCATAGTAAGCATAGTAAACACAATCCAAACATTAAATACATACGTGAAAAGATTTACATTGTCTTAATACAAAGATTATACATATCAGTATATAGCAAAAGTAAAAGACGTGAATCCAATAAGCTCCGTCTTCTCAAAAAGTTGGCAGAGTACCTGTCTATTGATGCCCTGAGAATACAAGCAGTTTTAAAATATCAGCATAAAGCTGGTGAGTTCATAAGCTGTTAATTCTGGTAAAAGACATGTTTCTTTGATTCTTTGAAAAGTTGTTTTCCCAAGAAAATCTCATATTTCCTTATGAAAGAGGTTTTGATTATCCATTTGTTACACATAAAACAGACTATTTATGAAAGATTTGGTTATCCCAGAAAATCCCATATTTTCTTAAAGGTTGAAAGTTGGTTATCTATACGCGAGTATTTATCATACTTGGACGGCAGTTTTCTTTTCGAAGCTCTGGTTACACCCAGAGGATTATATTAGAAGCTCTGGTCACACCCAGAGGATTATATTCGAAGCTCTGGTTACACCCAGAGGATTATATTAGAAGCTCTGGTTACACCCAGAGGATTATATTAGAAGAGTAAATTCTCGCTACCTAAGTTGTGAGTGCCATAACCGTACTAAGACTGGATAAGGCGCGTAAATGGGCCAGTATCATTTATGACTTTGTCACCCCTGAACCAAAGAGTTCCACTGTAGCTAGCAGCGAGGGAGTGGGATAGTCAGTCCCATATAGATCTATACAAAATAGTCACGCTCTCCCTCCAAGAGATTATGGTTATAAGTCGTAGCCCTCCACTCACGAATCCGGGGAAGTGTTACTGAGGACATGTCTCAAACTTAGCCTAACGAATTTACAAGTGATAATACAAAAATCCTTTTATGATTTGCATGAATCCTTTATGAAATAATACATATTATGATAAGGTTCACGAGTTCCTTGCTTTAGATTTGAAAACTATTACTACGAGTTGATTTCTTAATCGATTTGTAAAACAGTTTTCTGAGTTAAAAGCATGCTGAACATGAAATTATTTTATACCAAAAAGAGATAAATCGAGCACAAGTTTCCTTGTACTTTTGCTTGTATTCCCCTCCTGAAAAACATGAAAAACTTGAAAAAGTATAGGGGTATGAACTCACCTGTCGTGGATGATTCGGATGGACGGATGGTATAGGATGCTATGTGTCAAGTGAGGACTTGAACACACACTCGGATCCTATTGAACATGCAATGATACATTTATGTATCTAATTAGTCATTTAATAACTAATTAAGTGAGTTATGACACCCTAATACATGAAAACACTTTGCTACAAGTGCTAAGAGTACTAAGGGTTGTATATAAGGAGTGTATGACCTCGCTATGGAGTTTACACTTCAAATGGTGGCCCTTAGGGGTGCTTACGGTTTCTGGACCACTTCCCCCATGAGTTTACGGCCGTAAACTCATGGAAGTGGTGCCATTGGGTGTTCAAAAGTCTTATATCACTCAAGGAAGTAAGCTAGACTCGAATCTAAGGCTTAGAAAGTGACTAGGGCTCCAAATGGACCTTTGGTGGAGTTTACGGTCCTTGGACCACTCCTTGGGATTTTACGGTCGTAAACACATGGGTTTACGGCCGTAAACTCATGTTTGTCCTCTTCTTTCGTGTTTTGGTGTTTCTATCTTATGCATGCAATATTCTAGTCACTTATACAAGCCATAGGAGGTGTTAAGGGCACTTAAACACCCTTGGAAGGTGTTTACGGTTTTGGGAGACATTCCCAAACCGTAAACTCATGTTTGTCCCTTCCTTTCATGTTTGTGGGGTTTCTAGTTCATGCATGCAAGGTTCTACTCCTTTAAACAAACATTAGAAGGCATTAGGCGCATCTAAACACCTTTTGGAGGTGTTTACGGTTTTGGGAGATCCCCAAACTGTAAACACATGTTCTTGGGGATTTTTGGTGTTCATTCCATGGATTAACAAGTACACTAAGCTAATAACTAGCTAGGAGGAGTGTACTTACTTATATGAAGCTTGTAGGAGTGTTTAGGACCCAAAAACACTAGTGTGTGTTCTTGGTATTCTTGGTGTTTTGAAGAACACTTGAAGATCTAGTTAAAAATGAAGAATTCATGGATGAAATGATGTATAAACACTAGATTAAGTGTTGTATGAACGAATTTAGGAAGGAAAACTTACATTTTTGGTGGATTTGGAAGAAGTGTGTGATGATACTTGAGAGGAAAAAGGCTTGGTGTTCTTGAGTAGGAAGTGGAAAAGTGGGAAATGGAGTGTAAACTCATGCTATAAGCATGAGTTCATGTCAAAGGGAGTTTACGGTCCAAACCCCCTTGTTTGGCCGTAAACACCTAGTCAAGGTGTTTATTGTTTATCTCGTTACACAACACACCTAACGGACACTTCCATTTATTTGCTCGTTTGACGAAAAATTAAAATAAAATACTCAAACGGACTTAAAACCGGCCAAAAATGTTTTTGAGATGAATTTGGCTAATTTTTGAAGTGCTTGACTGCGGAGTTAAAACAATTGAAAGTTTCAGGTTGTCACATCATCCCCCCGTTAGAGGGAATTTCATCCCGAAATTAGAGTTCGAGCCACCTAGTTTATCACAAAATAACTAAGTAAAGAGATGGGGACGTTTAAGTTTCAATTTCTCTTCGCACTCCCAAGTGAACTCCGGTACTTGCTTGGCGCTCCAGCGGACATCCACAGTTGGGATGCGGATTTGTTTCGTTTCACTTGACTCTTCGGTCCATGACCTTTACAAGTTCCTACACGAAGTTGGGGCTCTCATTGATTTCGATCTTGACGAGTGGGATTTCGAGAGTCGCGTCGGACAAGCACTCTTTCGAGTCTAAGACAGGGATAGATTTGGATGGAATTTATGGAATTCCAAAAGTAGTTGAGGTCTGACGGGTGGGTTGGACCAATTCTTAACAAGAATTCCTGATTGTCCTAAGCTCTTGAGAAGATAGAATGTTGCGGTACTTAGAACATAATGTATTTCCATGGTGAGATCATCACTGGCGTGATCGCCATTTTGAAGTTCCAAAAGTTCTCTCTTACTGAGGGTGTAGTTCTCCGAGTTGGTTCTTAGAAGGCTCAGGTCGTCTTCGGATTCGTACTTCCTAAATGGTTGGCTTTCGGAGGTTCTTCCGGATTATGGGAGGTATTGGCTA